TGAGGTCCTCAGATCCACGACCAGAACAGAACCAGGATTTTAATTGGATTGAACTTTCATAACTGTTGTAAGTAGAAGAAATGTCCACTGATGAGCCTTTGACTGCACAGATGCTTCTGTTACTGTAATTCACTCTGTTGCATGAATCACCTCGGACACCTGAAACATAAAATGATTTTGAAGTCAGATTTAAAAAGTAGTTACTGTGAGTTTGACTGTTTTTATTCAGATGTATGTAGTGACTGTACAAGATGGTTTTATGTTACTGAAATAAACTCACACACTGAAGGAGAGGGGAAATCTTCATGACCTGTTACAGCACAGGAGTAGCTATCTGAAGAATTCAGATTGTCTGTATACCAGTACTGGTCTGACTGAGTAGAAATTTTCTGACCATTTTTGTACCAGGCATAGAAGAGATGATTATTTAGTCGACAACTGCTCTGACAAGTCAGTGTTGCCCAGTCAGGATATGATGATGTGTCCACGTGTACCTGAAGAACTGATTATGTGAAGAAATAAAATCAGAGCAGAAACTTAGACATCTATTATCAATATCCAAACACAAACAGTTATGTTCATAACAATTTCTGACTGATGTGTAAATAAAAATATTACCTGTGACATTCAGAGTGACTCCAGGTAAACCAGTAAAACTTTTCTGGTTTGCTTCAAACCTGAACTTGTACACAGCTGAGTGGCTCTCTCTCAGGTCTCTGATTGTCAGAGTGCAGCTGTTCAACCCACAGCTGTACGACACTCGACCTGCATACACTGGGTCTCTTTTCAGATCATCACGTTTATTACCATTTCCTTTGGTGAACCAAACTGTGTCCCGTAAATATGGATATCTTGAAGGGTATTTGAAGGAGCAGCCTATGACCTCTGTTGATCCTTTTACAGCACAGATCTGAGTAGAAGTGTAAGTCACTGCATAATCATCCTGACTTTCAACCGCTGTAACACAGAACACATCAGAATGTGTCAGATTTATAATGACAAACAACAGTAAAATTATGACGTCGCGCAATTACAGCAGGTAAAATAAATATGGAAAACAAAACCACATTTCTAAGTAAATATATTTCTAAAGGCGCTACTGACATGAAATTCTTAACCAATGTCAGTAACAAACCATCCAATCCACACATGCAAAGACATCAAACCATAGATGTCCATTAATCTAGTTATGTGTAATAATGGGAAATGAAACAAGGAAAAAGTATTGAACACAAAAAAAATGGAGTTGCAAAAAAGGCATGGAAAATAATGCCACCAGCTGAAATCTGTCAGAAATTAGAAACCAATCCTGTCACGAAGTGCAAATTAATATCATCTGGTTCAGACAGGCCATCCACACAAGAAACATCTCATGATGGGTGAAGCCACTATGCTCTCATAAGGCTGTCACAACCTTATTGTTGGAAAACATTGTGATGGCATTGGTCACAGAGGAATTTCTAAAGTACTGAAAATTGCAGTGAGCACTGGTGGGGCCATAATGTGGAAATGGAAAGAACATCGTTTTACCACAAACCAGCCATGATCAGATCCTCCCTGCAAGATTTCAGACAGTGAAGTAAAAGAATTCGGAAGAGTTTCTAAGAGCCAAGAGCACTTGTGGAGACCTATAGAAAGATCTGGAATCAGCAGGTAAAATTGTTTCAAAGAAAATAATAAGTAATGCTCAACCAACATCGCCTATTTGAACGCTC